AGAGGGATTATTCATTATGAATTTGTACCAACTGGACAAACAGTTAACCAAGTTTACTATTTGGAAGTGCTGAAAAGGCTGTGTGAAAAAGTTAGATGACCTGAACTTTTCGCCAATTCATGGCTCTTGCAACAATGCACCAGCTCACACGGCACTGTCTGTGAGGGAGTTTTTAGCCAGTAAACATATAACTGTATTGGAATACCCTCCCTACTCACTTGATCTGACCCCCAATGACTTCTTCCTTTACCAAAGATAAAGAAAATATTGAAAGGAAGACATTTTGATGACATTCAGGACATGAAGGATAATACAACAGCTCTGATGGCCATTCCAGAAAAAGAGTTCCAAAATTGCTTTGAAGGGTGGCTAGGTGCTGGCTTGAGCACATAGCTTCCCAGGGGGAGTGAGTGCTTTGAAGGTGACCATAGTGATATTGAGCAATGAGGTATGTAGCACCTTTTCTAGGATGAATTTCCAAACTTCATTGATGAGTTATGTATTACCATAATGCATCATCTACTTTCTGAATTTCCCCCATCAGAATCCAGTGATGTTTCTGTATTTCCATCCCCTGATCAGGGGTGAGGTGTGTGTGTGTGTGTGTGTGTGTGTGTGTGTGTGTGTGTGTGTACTTTTGGGATGGTCCTGTATAGCTATAGACCAGTTAATTCATCGCTCACCCCACCCTGCCTCAGTTTCCCTAAGTGTGAAATGGGCACAGCAGAAACACCTTCCCAGGGCTGTGATTTAGTAGAGGGTGGGCGGCCCCTGAGGTTGCAGGCAGCCCCCACAAGGTCTGAGTGTCTAAGGGGCAGGGAGGGTGGGAGATTTGAGAGAGGAGGCGTCAGGGCAAAGGAGTCGGGACGTTGGGGCGAGGCGGGGCGGCGGGGAAAGACGAGCAGACGGGGCGGGGCCGAGGGGCGGGCTGGGGCCAGAGCGTGGGGCGCGGGCCGGGGACTGGCGAGACCTACCCAGGGGACGCGCGCGAGCGCCGGCTATGGACTCCGTAGCTTGGCTGGCGGCGCTGCTGGCGGTACTGGCGCTCCAGGCAGGGCACCCAGCAGAGGCCGTGACGCGCGGGGACACGTTCTCGGCGCTGACCAGCGTGGCGCGTGCCCTGGCGCCCGAGCGCCGGCTGCTGGGACTGCTGCGGCGCTACCTGCGTGGGGAGGAGGCACGGCTGCGGGACCTGACAAGGTGAAGGCATGGAAGGGGAAGCAACAGAGTGGCCGAAGTGGGGGAGACTGAGTTAGAGGGCGAGACTGAGACACTGTGCCTCAGGGTGGGGGTAACTCTGAGGCTCATTGTCACCCTGTGCGGGACCTTAGACCTAGTGTCACACCTTGGGAGGGAGACACTTTGGGTGTAACTCCCCAGGTCCACAGTCACCCTCTGGAACCTCGAGACACTGTGGCATGGGGTGATGGGGAAACTGAGATTGAGGATGACCCCAGAGACTCGGTGTCAAAGCGTGGATTCTCAGACTCTATCACTCACACACACACACACACACACACACACACACACACACACACGCGCGCGCGCACACGCAGTGACGTTCCAGATCCAGTGCCACAGTGAAGTGGATACACTATGGGAAAGTGTGGTGGAGTGACTCTGAAGCCAGGTTAAGACCTCACAAGACAGTGTGTCAAGCTGTGTGGGGCCCCAGGCTCTGTGTCACAGAGACACAGAGACATTGCCAGAGTGAAATGAAGAAAATACTGTGTGATGCTGTAGCCATACTTGTGTTAACCATGTGACCCAGTGCTCTGGTGTTTGGTATGAGTCAGGTGACATTCTGTGACTATGTAGGAGACTTACATGTCATTGGGATTAGATGGACATGGTGCACTATGGATATC